TCTCAAGGTCTTCCATAATCTGGCCTCCCCTACTTAAATTCATATCCCTAGATTTCCCAACATTCATCTTTCAGTTAGGATTATCTCTCTACTATTGTCCACATATGCTCTTCTTGACTCAGTGCCTTTGTTGATTGGTTAATTATAAGATTTGATGTCATATTAATTTAAACTCTGCCACCTTTCCAGTGTTTTATGTGAAGAAAGAAGGAATTAATTATACAAAGATCTGGATCCTGTTTAATCCTTACTCACAGGACAATCTTTTAAATCATCAACTTTAGTTACTAAAGAAAACTCACACAAAACAAGAAAGACCTCAGTGATAAAGTTGATGAATCTATTGGAAAATCACTGAAAAGTACCTTAAGTAAAGAAACTCTTATGCAAAGGTATCAATCTGTGAATGTGAACATATTTGTGAGAGAAGATTTGTAAAGATGTAAATCTTATATTTATATTTTACTTTCCAGTTTAAAATCTGGTTTAAACGCCATTTGTAAATGAGGACTTAGCACCTACTTAGCTCCACATTGCTGTTTGAGCTTCTTACCTGAAGGTTAAAATTGAATGGGGGCATGTGGAAGGGAGTCAGAGTCTAAGAAGAAGGTGGGAGATTGTGAACTGGGCAATGTTGACTCATTTTCCCCTACCTCAAACTTAGCGAATAGCAAGCTCTGGCAAGAACAATGCATATGCCTACTAATTGATTTTCTTCCAAACATTTCCTAATATATGTTTAAAAGAAAACACACAAGAGATAGGAGGCAAGTATTATATTTTATGCTTTTTTTGGATAGGCAAGGTGTAATGGGAAAAAGAGAATGAAGAAAAAAATAACCTAGTTGATTGCATCTGGAGATGAGGGTCCAAGTCTAGACTCTTACACTTAGTGGCATCATTACCATACCCAAGTTACTTAACACCTCTGAGGTTCAAATAGTATTTCTATAAATTGTGAATGATAATACTTAAAGCCTATCTCATATTTATGAATAAAAATATTTTAAATGTTAAAATTCTATATCAATGAAATTACTACTGTTACTTTGTAACATTTCACAATGTGATATAGCTCAGGTCTAGACACACAATAGACTCTCAATATATAACTACTGGTAAATTCATTTATATTTAAGGAAAATTCTTTCCTGATTTCCTTCTCAAAATATACATGGGGACTTGGGATAAATGTGGCCATTCTAATTGTCTTACAATTTTCATGTTACTAGGATTTTAAAGATTTCATGAAATAATAATGCCCTGTATGATGACAGATACCTGTAGGCAAATGATACCTTAGGGATAGTTCATGTCAACTGTAGAACTCTGAGTCTCCAGGAATTTTACATTTCTATGAAATTATTAAATTATATTTCTCTAGAAAGAGCACTTCTCCAAATAAATTCAGATGATCAAAAATCTAACCCAATTCTTTATTCCTGAAATGCAATTCAATACAATGGAATTTTTTTTCTTTTAAAAACAAAACATATGAGCAAAACAATGGGACTATAAAGAAAAAGAACTCAAATAGCTGCTCCCCTCAAAAAAGTTTACTTTCATTCCTTTCTCTTAAAGAAAGTGATTTTTATCTGCCATTTGAACATGTCATGGGAGAATTAGTCTTACAAATAAGCCAAAAAGAACTAGTAGAGAGATGGGAACATGATAAAAAGAATAGGTTGTTTAGACAGTATGTCAAAAAAGAAAATGATAAGTTCTTGTCTAAATTCTCACTTCTTCAATTATAATATATTTCCCTTTGAATTTCTTATAAGAATATCCATAAACATTAATAATATTTAACCTATTTGTGGGCACATTTCTAACTATTTAGCAAAATATAAAATGCTTGCAAGTACAAACCATTATCTTGCTAACAAATTTGGGCTTTTGTTTATAAAATGGGACAACTGGTATTCATATTGTAGCACTGCGTTATAGCAGCACAAATTTAGAACTAGAAGGAATTTAGAGATCATGGGAGGCAGTATGGAGCAATGGATTGAGAACTAAGCTGGCAATCGTGTACTTTGAATTCCAGCTCTGCCACCTCTGTGACCTTGGAAAGTTGTTTACCCTTTATGTGCCCCGGTTTACTCACTTGTATAAGATAGATTGAAGTCACTTTTTGCTTTAGAGCTGTGACTCTGCCTAATCACAACTGAGAGGCTAAGCAACTAGTTTAATGTAATATAGTCACAATAGTAATTGAAGAAACTGGGATTTGGACCCTGGTCCTCTGGCTCCAAATCCAAACTTTTTTAAATTCAATTACTTTATCTTCTATCTCTAGTACTAGTATAATCCCTTAAATAGAGATACATGTTTTTACATGTATGAAAAATAGTGTTAAAGCCAATTCCATCCTCATAGAATAACAGAATTTATATCTGAAAGAAACCTAGAGATCATCTAATCCATTTCCATCTTTTCAGCTGATAAGGAAATTAAGGCTCCAAATGACTTGCCAAAGGAATCAAGTTGGTATCTCAACCCAGGTTCTCTGACTTGAAAGTCAGCAATTTTTTCACTAGATCACCCAATTTTTAATTGCATACTTTTTTATCATCTTTGATCATCTCCACTGTCTAGCATAATGCCTCCCTTACATATAGTAGACACTGAAAAAAATTTAACTGATTCATGAAAAAATAAAGCATACAGGAAATCCTCCCCTACTCCTTAATCATAATTTCCTTGTCCCAGTTCATTTACTTTAAGACCCTTACTTGTTTCTACCAAACCCATGAAGATGCGCTTTACCCAAGAAGTCATTTGAATCACTCAGCCTATTAGATTGAATGTTGTTGTTCAATCATTCAGTAGTGTCTACCTCTTCATGACCCTGTAGACCATGATGTGCTAATTCTGTCCATAGGGTTTCTTGGCAAGGATGGTGGAGTGGCTTGTCATTTCTTTCTTCATCGGATTAAGGGAAACAGAGGTTAAGTGACTGTTGCAGGTCACACAATTAATAAGAATCTGAGTCTTGAATTGAACTCAGGTCTTCCTGACTCCAGGTCCACTGCTCTAGCCACTGTAGATGATGACTATTCCCAATCATTGTTTTGGAGTAGTGGAGACCCTAACTTCTCAAAGACAGTGTCAATAAAGTTCAAGCTCTCATAGATCTTAACAAATGGAAAAGGCTTCAAGTAAATGCTACTTGGATACTTGTCCAGGGACCACATTAAATAAGTGAGAAGCTCACCACAATGGCTATAAAGTTTTGAGATTTTTTGAGTGGCACAGAAATTTATCTCTCCATCTGCTAGGGGACACCCATCAATGATACCAAAAGGAAAGCTGGTCATCAATAATATCACCTATCTTTTGAAATTTTGAGGAAGGCAATACCTCAAGTTGTATTAAGTTAGCCTAAGAAGCTGTTTGCAAGGGTACTTCCCCAAACATCCTTTCAATAGGAATGAAGAGTCGCTTAGCTCAACCCCCTATCACAGTCAAGGGGAATCACAGAATGAACTCATGTTAATTGCTTCTGAAAATGAGTATCTTACTTGAAAAGAACATTAAGAGACTGATCATTTCTTCAGAGCTTTGTCAGCCTGAAGGAGAAGAAACCTGAAAACAGCAGGGAGTATTTTTGCTTAATTGTTGTTTATTTTCATTGCTAACTCTACATGAGTCCGGCATGCTATTTTCATCACTTCAAAGAAAACATATGAAGTCTTTATATTCCTGTTCAATTCTATTTATCGATTAAATATTTTAATAAGACAAAGCACCAACTTAAAAGCATTGGGAGTTTAAATTTGAGAATGGGTAATCTAATTGTGAGTTAAGATCTTTATCTTAGTTGCCAGGAAATGTGGAGCCAAATTCAGTATACAATTTTAGTATTCAGTTAATCTCAGGAGCCTGGTTACAACCACATTTTCTCTATCTTTTATTTGTCTCCATCCTGTTTTTATCCCTAATAGTCCTATTTTGCTTATGTTTAATCTCCTGTGTCATTTCGTGTCCATTTGGAAGTGAGCAACTCTAATTAGGCAAGATTACATATATTATATATGTATATATGTAATATATACATATAATATATATGTATATGTATGTATATACACGTGTATATATGTGTGTGTGTATATAAGTGTGTGTATATATATATATATATATACACACACACACATATATACACCTATATATCTTAGATGGTGTGATCCTATTTCTATGCCTTACTGTGGCATAGAAGCGACTCTAAGTTTTCAAAGGCTATGCCAGAAAATTTGGGCAAAGCTGAGATATGGAAGCGAAGCAATGACACGCCAAAGAAGAACAAAGAATTCAGAGCCAGAGGACTTAGGTTCCAATTCCACAACTAGATTTCCCAATCTTAAATTTCAACTCCCAATGCTTTTAAGTGGATGGTTTATTACATTAAAATATTTCATTGATAAGTAGATTTGAACACTGCCACTCACCTGTGTGATCTACATGCACTCCATAGTTGATCAGGGTTCCTCTCTAAGTCTTTTAAAATAATAATAATGGAATCCAGTAAGATAACCTATCGAAAAGGTCAGTGCAATGATGTCATTTTGCCCTAAAGATGTAACTACATAAGATGAAGTGTGATTATTTGTTATAGGCCTGATATTTAAGTAAGGAAAATCTGGATTGATGACCAATCTCTGCTACATACTACTAGCTCTATGACCATGGGCAAATAATGTAACCTCTCAGGAACTCAGACAGTTGAAGGTTGTGTGATTGGCATTAGTAGAGGGAAGCTAAATTAAAGAGCCCTTCAAATTAAAGAAATCCTCATTTCACACCCTACCTTCTGCTCTTCACCCCACTCCCATGGTAAGTACAATGAAAAAATGTGAATGGATAAATCTGTTCTTTCTTTGAATTAAGACCTAGAAGTTTGTGATTGATCTTCAAACCCCCCAATTTGGGAAATCAGCTCACGAGAACACAATAATCAATTTCCAAAAGTTAAATTAATGAAGTTAATTATTACATTTTACCTGAGCTGCTGTTTCCTGCTAATAAGGTTGGACTAACAGAGGATCTTCCCAGTCTACTGGATGTTACTGGTGGTCCTGGTGTTCCATCCCATTCCTGAGCTTTTATTGGCTCTCTAGAGGAAGATGCCCTGTGATGGCCTCTCTCTTTGTTTTCCAGCTTTGGTAGTGGTTCTGTACTGTGGCTTCTTATCTTCGACTCATCTGTTGGTTCTACAGGATAGGGAGAAATCATATTATATGATAAAGAAATATTTTCACAAAATAAAAAGGCAGAATCAATAAAACACTATAAAAGTAATTTAATCTTGAATACGGTTTTCCTAAAGATAGAAATCATCGTATTTTTAGCATTGTGTTTTTTGAGGGATGAAGGAAAGATTGGGGAAGATTCCCATTTTTGTGGGGGGGATGACATGGTTCAATCTCACAATACTTGAGATGACTTTTTGGTAATCACAGGGTGAAGTATTTTACAAACACAATCTTGCTTTTAGAATAAAAGAATCAATATTTTCCTTAATATGGGAATTGTCTCTAATTCCTCACCAGCAGCCTTTACTGTATGTCCCCCACTACATGTCTCTATGCTTCTGCCCTGGAGCCTGCTAGTTTTGTTGATGTTTCTGACTCAACCACTGGTTCACAAGAGGACCTCAGCTATGTTCGGTTCACTCCTGGATGGACTCACTCTCCAGATTTCTTTGCATCCTTGTCAGAAGCCTTGGATTCAGCAATTGCTCTCTTCTCCCCTTTTTAGCACCCTCTTTTTTTTGTCTTTCTCCCATTGGAATGTAAAGTTCTTGAGAGAAGGGGTTTTCTTATTTCCTTATATTTTATCATGCTTAGCACAGAATCTGGAATTTTAATTAATGTTCATTCTATCCATCTATCTATCTATCTATCTATCTGTCTATCTATCTATCCATCTGTCCAGTCAATAGCCATTTTTAAAAAAAAAAAGATCTAAATGTTTGAGCCCTAAATGTCTAAAGCTGCAATTTGTATTGGGGGTAAGACACCAATTAAAATTGGGAACTCTTAGAATTTAATGCAGATACTCAATTGTTTTAAAGATGATTCATCAAAATGTAGTGGTTGGTTGGATTGAAGCAGTTTCCATGGAACATGTATGGAGATGGGTCTATACCCTTGCCTCTTCCAATATGTGCTATAGCCACTAGCCCAAGGACATGGATGATTAGTAGCTCCTGTTTGGTTCCTTGGTTCTTATGATGGGTAGGCTGTATCAAAGAAGCCTAGCAACGGAGACAGAAAGAGTTGTCCTCTAAGTAAGCTAATTAAGTCATTCGTTCATTTCAATTCTTTGTTGAGATATAACCAATGCTGTTGGGGCATAGGAAGTGTGTTTCAGTCTAACTCCCCTATGCAATTAAAAATGCAGATCTGAGGAGTCAAATTACTTTGAAATTTTCTTAGAAGTTAATTTTGGCTTGTTAGTAATATAAAGTTTGGTATACCTGTTCCAAAGTCCTTTGGTGATTTTACAAAATCATATGCTTACTACTGCCTAGTTATGTGACCATAGGTGAGTCATAATCTCTCTGGATCTCAAGTAAATTATTAATAAAATAGGGAGGTCAGACAAGATGGTACCTTTTAATGCATTCCATGATTTCATGCCCATTGTGTAAGCTCTTAAATTTTATTCTGACCATCTCTCTGTGAGCTTATTAACAAATCTTTGTCTCTTTCATGATTATAAGCCAAATAAAATGTCAATAGCTCCAGAAAAGGATATCACAGAGTTGAGGCTTTTATGCCATTTATTGAGTTTCAAAGAAAAAGTGAGGTTTTTAAATGCTCCTCCCTCATATCCCAATGAGGAATTGGTGGTGCTCTACCTAATCTTTCAGATACTCAATAGATTTTGGGGCATTAGTTCTTATTTGCACCCTTATTATTGTTGTTGTTATTATATTTATTATTGTTATATTTGCTAACTATATTATGTCATATTATGTAATTATATTTTGTAAATAATATATTTATTAAATCTTTGTACTTATTAGATACACAGTTTATATAATTATGTATTTTTCAAAAGAATTATTAGTCCCTCCCTCCTTCCCCAGACACTAGACCTGATTGGACATTTGGCCAAGAAAGAAAGGAAGGAGAAAGAAAAGTTTCAAGCAATACTTGTTTCATAATTATTACCGGAATTTCAGACAGTCCTTAAATATGAGACTCAAAAGAAAAATTTCAGGTTAACTCACTGTTAGTTATTTTCTTTGTTCTAATTTAGTTACTTTCCTATGCATGCCACAGGCTTGTCACTTAGGTCTCAAGTCTAACAAAATAATACCTAAATATAGTACAGAAAAAAATACCTCTTTTCTTCTTTTTTTTTAATTCTCATGTTCCCAAGGTTAGTATGCTGTGAAGTTTGGCAAGTATACTTAGAGAAAGTTATACAAAAGGATTCAAAATATTATACAAACAAAGTTTAGGGCTCACTGCCATTATTATTATTGTTACTATTATCATCATTATTTGCTAAATGAAGAGCACTTATTTCAAATCTATGAGAGTACATTGGAATTTTTATCAGCAGGTGACATGCATGTTTGATAGCACATTTTCCTAAGAAAATCTTTCTACTCAAAATGAACATTAAAATACTCAAAATACTTCTGAATAGACAAAAATGGAAATCATATAGACTTAGGAAGAATATATTTGATATGACACATTACAATTTAAAAGAAGTCTATTCAGAGGAATGTGGGGGATGGTTGAAATCTATTTTGTGAAATTTTTTTGGACTTCTTGAGCAAATCTCCCACCTCCCCCTAAAAAAAATTCTGTTCTTAGTAATAAGAACTTTCTTAGATAAGAAAGATTGCAGAAATAATATAGAGTTCTTTGAAAAAGAAAAATTTAAAAGTCATGCAGATTTTTTTCCCTAAAATGGCAACTTTATCCAATAGACATATTTTCTATCTACATTCATCTTAAGGTCTAGTGGTGTTATTTATCATTCAATGCAGTCAAAATTGATCCTTTCCCATTTAACATCTCCTCAAAAATCACACTATAATTTATACTTATGTAAAGCCAGGAACCCTTACAAATGCCATGTTAATCAAGAAACCAGAGAGGAAAATGTTTGCTTTGGAGAGAGGATCATTCATTATTTGTTAATATAACCAAACAATCTGGAATAAACAGAAAGAGGTTTCATGAAACTCTGATCCAGTTTCCAACATCCAAAAGGATTCATTTGCTACATCAGTCAATTACTTCTACAAACAGCTTGATGATTTGGTTAAGAGGCTTTTATGTTTGTGATTTGTAACTGCGGCTACCACTTGAAATTTCATGGTCTCACACAGGGATCCCTTAGTTACAGGAGACGTATTCTAATTGTCCAGAGCACAATAGGGATCCAAACGACCACAGCTCTGGGGGCTGACCAGCATTTGTGCTCATTGCTTGATGCAATTGATTCCTGTGAATTTTATACTCTGTGTCCCTATTGGTTTAATCAGCAGGATCAAAGTTTCTCCATTTTATTCCAACCACTGGAAAATGGAAATGATGAAAGGCAATTAAAATTGATTAATTGCATAGAAAAGACAGCATTATAAGGATGACTGGGACATTATGAAGGGACTGTTTGATAAGATGAATATTATTTGTGGGACTATGGAATATTCATGATGCAAATGACAGATCATTTAGTCCAACTCTTTCATTTTACATATGAGGAAACTGAGGCCTAGGAAGGTGAACTGATTTATCTTAGGCTGTACAGCTGTTTAGTGTCAGAGCCAAACTACAGCCCAAGGTCTCTTGACTCTTGGTACAACAGTATTTTCACTAAACCATATTGATGAGTCATCATGCGCTGAAATGTACAGACATTTAACAATTACTAGCATTTATACAATGCTTCAAGGTTTGTAAAGCACATTACAACTATTCAATTTAATTCAATAATCATTTAGAAAATGCCAACTACATGCCAGGTATTCTGCTAAGTGAGGGGATATACAAATAAGAAAAAGGAAAGATGGTACCTGCCCTCAAGGAGTTTATAATCTAATAGGAGAAGATAACACACAAAATAGTGCTGGAAGGGGATGTGGTGTGGGAAAGTGGAGAGTAAGCTGGAGATTCCTAGATCTAGCCCTCTATAAAGGGGATGTTTGGGAGGAGTTTATATTCTACCCTCCAGCATTCCAATCAGAGGTAAGAGGAAACTGAGGGAGTTGGGAAAATGTTGAGTATCCAAAGCTAAGTTAAACAGAATGAAGATGAGATTTCAGGTAACCAGCTTATCGTGGAAGGGGCATCATATTCCTTGAAGTTCAAATCACACAGAACTTCAAATAGTATCTTATTTGATCCTCATAACACTGCGAAGTAAATATAAATATCCTCAGTGGAGGAAGCAAGGAAGAGAGAGATTAAATGCCCACCCATGGTCTGCAAACAGATTCGAACTTATGTTTTCCTGATTCTGTCCAGTGAGCCTCATACCTGCTTGCTAAAGATAACATATAAAAAAGCAAACTATTCCCTGTTTGTGTATAAGAAATCAAATTGGTACATGTACAGTATGAATTAATCCATTGAATCAAAAGATATTGTCAGTAGAATATCCAGTTGATGGAACTGGAAGGAATCAAAAGGGAAAAAGCCATAAATTGGAATCAAAGGAAACCCAGAGCTGCCTCTTCCCTTCTCTGTGACCTTGGGTAACTCATTTAATCACATTGGGCCTCAGTTTCCATTCCATGAAGAAAGTTGGGCTAGAAAGGCTCTAAGTCCCTCTGGAGTGAAGAAGATCTTGGTTCAAACTCTGACTCTGATACAATTTAGTTGTGTGGTCAAGTCACTGAGAGTTCACAATCAGCATTGATGGAAGGTATCCCAGAATTCCACATCAGAAATTCCTCACACTCACAAGTTTACTTATTCCCTGGCAAATGTCTACAGCAGAGGAAGGATCAGAAATGACTATGGGAACCCAGTCTCTTTTACTGATAAGTTCTTTGCAAACTGGTTTCTGATTAGTCTTCTGGGTTAAGATGTCCCAGAACGCTAGTAATAGAAATTACCATTCATTTTGATCTATGCATAGAACATTTTACATCCAAGGATATGAAATCCTTAAATTATTACTAAAGAATATCACACTAAGCATAAACTCTAAAGATATCATATCACAATAATGCTAGAAG